GACTAGGGCATAGACATTAAAAAGTCCTCGTTCTCGAAGTCTTTTACTGATAATTGTTTCATTATTTGTAAGGGGTGAGATTTAAGCAGGAAGAAATAAACGAGTGCTTTGTTTTATTTTTACACTTTTCCTCTTTTTTTTATTTCATCACAAATCAGCGAAGGTACAATCACTCAATCTTCGGTTTCACAGAAAAACGCACAAACACTTAACGCTTAATTTTACACAGGGAGGCTCGCTTCGTCGTGCCAAGAGCACAAGAGCCGACTCACTGTACCTCTTGGAGACCGCTATCACCACTCCTCCGCCCTTAGTTTTAGGCCTGTTAGCATCATGCCCTCTTGCCCGCCCTCGCAACCTCATCTTTCTCTGCTACTCTCCCCCTCCCTCTCGCCCGCACCCTTACTCGCCAGCCTGCCGAACCGAAGGTCGACTTAGCCAGGTTTCGCCTCGCCAGCCTCCCTTCCCCGTTGGAAATTGCCTATAGTACGAGGGGACTTGTCACCCTCGTGAGGCCTGCAGCCTCCGAGAATATTTCTCGGATCTGGTATGACGGCTTCACGGCGACGTTTACGCGGAATTCGCGAACGCCCACGTGCATAGGTCGAGCTAATGCCGAACGAGCAGAGACGGAGAACAATCCCGAGAAGATAGGCGCGATAGGGCGTGTCATTAGGAAACTTACGACTACTATCGCTACATTTCTTTTTCATAACGCGTACATAAGCGTTTAATATTTAAAACGGCCAGCGAGAAACAGGCAATAAAGAGACAAAGAGAAAAAAGCGAAAACCGTACTATCGAACTAGGTAGATGGAGGACCCGACCTGCGCTAAGTGTTTGGGCCTGGCGATGGTCTGTGACGCACGTGTATCGCGCGCGTTTACCCAGACGTCGTAAAGACAAAGGGCTACTAATTTCTTCGTTTGGATATCGGGTTTGGTGCTGCTTTCCGAGACAGCGTAATGCGCGCCCCCCTATATTTTCTACATTATTCGACTTTTAATATGTGTAAACGTGACACTTAATGTCAGCAGTAGTTAAACGCCTACTACATAAACTAGATTAAATTTATTATTTAATATAATCATTATTACTTTCTATTTTATTTAAATATCACTTTTGGTTTACCTTCTCCTTGTCTATACCCCATAGAACCATACTTAAAAAATTAATTGATATTGTAATCCACAGTATGTATGGGAATTTTCAGGTTATCTGCAATTTGGCGATTGATTTTCTCAAGTCTATAAAGACTCAAAATCATTCCAAGTTTCTCAACAGATAAATTTTTCTTCCTTGTCATATTAAAAGCAAAAATCTCTCAAAATTATAATTTCCTTCTAATATTATCTTATGAAATAACAAGAAATATGATATTGACATTTGATATTAATCAAAATCCATATCCATAATGGGGGATTATGGAAGTTTTATGTGACACTAAAATCTCGCGCCACAGTTTACTTTGTGTCAATTCGTCTTCCTAACTTTTTTAATGGGGTGCTCAACTGCTATCTTTGGTTACAGCAGTTGTCGGGGATTCGAGTCAGAAACACGAAAAAACTGTAGAGTACGACAGATGTGGAGCTTGAATTTTCAAACAAGTTAATCAAACCAAAATGGTGACACAGCTCTAACGGCTCGTCTTATTATCTAGATGTAAGGGTTGACTGGATCTAGCTCTCGTCAGTAACTCCTCTTTGAGGGTAGTATAGGAGCGGATTTAACGGAAATAGGCACTATTAATCTCAAAATTTTATCTTCACAGCGATAAGCACGAAGGAGTTTGTCGGAAATCCTAAATTCACGTAAGTTACGAATATCCCTCTAAAATTCTAATCCGAAATTATTGCGATCACGACTACAAATAAAGTGAAGCACGCGAAGGAATGAATTAACGGCTTAAGTCACAGAAAAAATTCAAATAATCAAATTCGAGATATGCACTTTGGTTCACTCCTGGTTAGTGTGTCAAATAATGGCGAATGGTTAATGCAGTAAATTACGTGTTTTCGATTATTTGTCTAAAACTGACTATTTCGTCATAATAATTAATACTACCGAATAATGGGACTACCTCTTGCACTTCGTCAGATCTTCTCAATGAATGGTGTAGTCAACAGTTAGTGGTTCGGAAAATCGACGACAAAACAAAATATGAATACGAGCAAACACAGATTTAAAAATCTCCCTCTTGGTTGGGAAGAAAAGTCGTCATTGATAGGATTCAGTAAATCGAATGTCTGACGCACTCTTTAATTTTTATCAATTTTGTGGTATCATATTTCTCTCTACCCCCACTCGGTCTATGAATACATTTCCACTCTTGTTTAAAGTCTACTCTAACCTCAGAGCTTATCATTGATTACACCTTTTTATTAGCCTATTTATTGTGTGACGTCAGTGACAATTTCCACATTTTTATTCACGTTAGCAAAATTATCGTCGGTATGGTCAATTTCGCTATCTGCTATGTCTAAACACATGATTAATCTACCTCAGATATAATTACATACATATGAATCAATTTCGCGTTATATGTTGTTTAATTTACTTCTAAATTGCACTTTCTATACATACATCTCAGCAAGCATTAGTCGATCAATACATACGACTACAGTCAATTATCAATCAATTTGTCTCTTTATTTTATTTCGATAATAGTTATCTCACATATTTATTTACCTTGATACAATATATGAGCAATATATACTTTACTAATATGCATACTATTACGCATAGTCAATTTGCAGCTCCAATATCAACTGAGATTCAATTCGCAATATTTTTCCGTATTCCGATCATTTAATTCCATGAGACCTTGTTCTATTGCAGAGTAGGCCCAATACAGTACCACTGTAAGCGCACGTATAAGCTCGCTAAATATTTTAGACAGCCGGGCGCTCTTAGTCGCTTCATTTTATCTTGTTCGCTCTTGTTAGTCTGTCTCACTCATTCTTGCACGTGCATGTTGCTTCCAGGAACCGGTGCTCATCGTGTTTCTCGGAGTGCTTATCATCATTGTCGATCGCCTGATTGTAGGTGTGTAGATTTATGTAATTGCTAAGCCATGTATTGAACGAGTAGTATTTGTGTAATGCTTAGGACATCGATAGTGATGCGCAATAGCTCGACACAGCTGATTGCTGGCTGCTACTTTCGTGGTAATACCCTGGTTCACCAGGTATAACGGTATTTCAATGGGTGTCTAAATGAGTGCATAAGCGTGTAACACGCCCATTTTATGATCTGCGTGTTTTTTCTTCGCCTTTTCCCATGGTTTACCTCGAGTGTTGGAAACGCGTAGTCACGACTAAGTATGTATACGTGCGCTCCCCTTTTCACGGCATGCACTCCTTTTTCGTCGATCATTGTCTGCTCTTTCTTTCTCATTTGGTCGTTCTCAGTTTGGTTATCATCGAACCGCGATGCCATTTTATAATGTCGTTTCTTCGAATGTGAATGGGCGAGAACATAAATAAGAAGGTGTTCCGGTCACGGCATGATTTAGAAAAAATTATTATCAATTATGGGGTAAATGAGAGCGGCGCTGAATTATACCAGGTGTTGTAAGAAATGTAACACTATCGGCTTTATCCCTTATAATCCACAGTATACTCAAATTTTGAAAAATAACAATTTTATAAACATAATATTCAATCTTTCGACAATTTAACAGCAACCTTTAACAATTAAATTATGCTGTAATTTCTTTAAGCAAAAATTATATCATTGAGAAATAATTGTTTTACTACTATGCAACTGTATTTTTATTTTACTTTACAAATATGTTGTATTTAAAATCTAAAGAAAATCTAAAAAAATGATATATTAATATAGATCATCTCTTATTTATTAATTGAAGATATACCCACTATATCATATATCTAGATTAACTACAAATAAAAAAGTGAAAAAACATTTTATTTTTTTTAAAAAAAAATTCCGTAAAAATTCTGTCGTATTCTACTTGGACTAGCAAATATTTTCTTTAAAATAAATATTTTTCTATTTATTATATTTATCGATATATTTCAAATGCTGAAAAATTTCAATACTTATGATATACGTGAGAAATAAAAATTTCTATTAAATGTTTCAGACAGTGTTCAACAAAAGCTACAAAATGGTGTACTTCCAATTTTTTAACGATATTTTTACGATACATATAAGAGTCAAAATTAGCAAACAAATATTACGTTCGCGTTTGATTGTAATCGTTAGCGCAGAATTATATAGTGCATTACACTGAAAGAGAGCTCTGCCGTAGTTAGTGATAAACAGATATTATATTATAAAGTCTTTGACAGTGTGCGCCACCCATGACAATATTGGTTATGGATAAAAGAGGTAGGTTTTAGATATGACATATATAAGAATCAACAGTAACTACGACGCCTACATCATCATGATGAATCGTTGGTCGTCTATTTCCCGAAAAGCTGTATACAGTACAGAAAAACTGTATATTTTGAGTTAGCTTGTTTGTAGTATGTAATTAAATTTTTCAAATAATATAAATGCAATAAATGCGACAAGCTTGCAGTTCCTTGGGTTCAGAAAGTTAGGGTTCTTTTTTTGATAGGGATAGTTTCTACCCCCAAAAAGCGGATTCCGCTGATAAAAACACACTTTTCAATTATTTTTGGTTGTTTTACCATCGTTAAAAATTTGGTACGATTTGGCGATTATCATTTGACTAGAGTTACTTGTTAGATATAAGACTTTGAAGATTTAACAAATTACTTTTTTGGTGGGGAAAGGCAATTACTGGAACTATATATATATATATATTGTCATTTTGTATATATTTTTTAGTGTCTGTTATATAAATGTAGAACCTCTAAAACAAAAATTAACTTTTAAGTTGATTGATCAAAAATAAGTGATAGATTTAAAAAAAAATGAGTTAAAAAATCAAAAGATGGTTTGATTAAGGTGTGAATATTTGCATGTGCAGTTTTCAAAAAATTGATACATAAAAATATAAAAATTACCTTTTATTGGTTTAGGTCGATGTGTTACCTCATCTTTTTTAGAATATACGCAGTCAGATAGTACTATGTTTTTATAATTATTTGGCCTTTGAATGTCAATATCTATGAATTTACTACTTTGAACGGAAGAATTGCTTGGTAACGATATTTCTTCACATATGATCATTTGATCTTCATCGGAGATGCATTCATTATCATCCTTGCGGCATGTGGATTCTAATACATCTACATTTTGAAGGTTTTCTGGCAAATTGACATTACAAATCTATAAAATTAAATGATTAATAATGTTATTCAGAAAATTAAATTTATAATAAATTGATTAATAAACAGAATAATGGGAAAATTTTTCCTAATATGAAGGAGTTTTCTGGTGCTCAGTTTTACATCCTTCTGGTGAAAGAATATAGCAAGGTTTTCATGTTAATTTTGATTTCAAGCCATTTTACAACTAATTATGGGTTATATAATATCCATAAACCACCATTGTTAACAAAAAAAAACAAATTCTTACTAATTTATAATTCACGAAAGAGTTAAATTTAATTCAGTATACATTATTTCATTAAGGCATGGAACTTGTGTATTTGAAATATAAGAGTCACACAGTAGTTGTACATTATTTACAACTACTTTATCACAATGCTGAAGATGTACTGTGAAACATTGATTGTATAGATTGAAGGAGTCTAGGTAATAAAGCGGTAGCAAAAATTCTGAAGCACGATATATCGAGTAAACGTAATTGTTCACTAGAGAGAGCAAATTAGTTGAAACAGAGTCTTTGATAGATGACATGTGAGGTGATATTTAGAGAAAAAATGACAGGGATAAAGCTCACTAAAAATCTGACAGCGGTATTCTGTGAAACATATAGATCAGATACTCTAATTTTAATTAGGTTTACCTATAGGGCAATACTCAAATTTGATCAGACTTTTGATAATAATGTGATAAAATGTGTTAAATTTTTTGATAATATTTATTTGACAGTGATACAATGCAATTCGGTTTCAGGAAAATAGTGAATAAATAGTTAAAATCAGGCAACATGATAAATGATTTTTAAAGTTTCAAATACGTTAATTTATTCTTTACAAAAATATAATTTTTTTACAAAAAGACATAATGGTCATGCTATACGAGTGTTATGTCTTAAGTTAGAGCAGACACCAGACGTTGAGGTATCGCCGAGCAACCGCTTGTATGAAAGAACATATTTTAAGCTTCCTCGCAAAAGAAAGTCTAGCTGCAATTCGTTACTCTCGCGGTCATGAAAAGGCACACATGTGTCAACGAGTCAAAGTAGCTTTCGGCGAATGGTGACGAACATGCATAATAGCGGGCCCGATGCATACTTGTCTAGCATAGAATCGCGAAAACGAAGGAAAAGTTCTATCTAGGCACGTCTATCTCTCTTTCTCTTCATCTCTCGTCTTTGCCGTTCCTTACTCTGCTCCCACCTATATTCTTAATACTTAGAAAAACACTCTTTACACTCTTTTTTCACCTTCACGAAATACATCGCATGAAAGTTAATGAGCGGCCTACTTCAGCTTTCGTTGACGGGCTACTGGGAAACCCCTGAAAATTTTCGTAGCGGCTTCTTGAGCAGGACAAAAAAAGAGCAGATACGAAGATTAGATTAAAGAGAACAGACATACGTTGCGGCAGTCGCGAACAGATTTTTTGTAACTAATAAGTTTTGATTATAATTAAAAATAAGTGAAAAAAATAAATCTACCCAATCCAAACAAGCTTCTAATAATATTAATTTTAAAACTCAAACATTTCGCAAATCTTTTTTGGCTTGTGTGATCTGCGTAGCTGTAAGTGGTGCTCTAAGCATGTTTTATATCGTCGAAGATACAGATAGACGGAACCAAGCACAAGATTTTATTAGAAATACGAGAATGACCGCAGCGATCGATGGAAGAGAAAAACAAGCAGACAAAATTCGAGAAGAATGCCCCATCATCATTGTTGTACCTTTCCTATCCAATATATGTATATTTTGCAAATAGTAACAAAAAGCTGCATACTAAAATTTCGGACGCAACATTGATGACACAGTGGTGGGATACCTTGCTTACAAAGATATTCGATGCTCATACTTATAATACTTTTTAGTATTGTTCATAAATATATCGAAATTGATATTTATTGGTCATGCAATATTTTATTCATCTGATAAGACATTAGGATCAAAAAAAAACAAACAAAATAGCAAAAATTATACACAAAATTTTGGAACGTGCTAACTACATTGCGAAACAGGAGTGGAAGATCGATACTCTCAGGAGCAGGTGATGAAAAGTCAAACAGAAGCCTAGTATAATAAAGGTATATAAATAAGGTTGAGGCAAATGATAGACGGAAAATTTACAACTCCAACTATTTAAAAACAACGCAAACTTCGAAGAATAAGAAATACTTCTCTAACTTAAAAAATAACGAATAAAAAATAAAACTAGCCAAATTTTCAAGCAAGCCTCTATTACCCTAATAGAAGAAAACAATAAACGATTGCTTTAGACGAAAAACTTCAAAGGTTAAAAACATCTATGGAGCAAATGAAAATTAAAAAATCAGCCAACTCTCTAGGTTCCTGCTAGTATGAGGGTCGTTCAATAAGTCTGTGACTTTGTATAAAAAATACACTATTTATTTAAAAGTAAAAATAATTTTTATCAAATTCCTCAAAATGCTCATTTTTCGTAGCAATCATGTTTTTGTTGGATGAAAATCTTATACTTGTACCAATTTTCATGTTAGAAAACAAAAAATGATTAGAAGAGGCTAAATGAAGACTAAACTGGATGAGAAAATATTTCGTAGCGTAAATCAAATAATTTGGCCGTTGCAATCGAAATCGTGTAAGTTGGTGCATTATCGTGGTGGAAAAGAACTTTTCTTTCGCCAAATGGAGCTACTTTTTCTTTAGAATGGCATTAAATAGGTCTAATAATGATGCACAATATTCTCCTGTAATAGTTTTTCTAATCTATGGGTAATCGATTAATATTATACCACTTGAGTCCGAAAAAATTGTAGCCATTACTTTTCCTGCTGATCGTACCGTTTTCACTTTTTTGGCGCAAATTCACCTAGCTCACTCCAATGTTTAATAAGCACACGAAACTCATTTTTTTCCATCATTTTGTTTACACAATCAAAAACTAACTTCAAATGACTGAAAAATTAAAAAAAAACTAAATCCAAACCAACGTACTAACTTGAAACTTTGTACACGCTTTTATATTAGATGGGACTCTCTTAAAAAGTAAAATACGTTAAAATAATACCACCATCTTTTGTGAAGTCGCGAACTTATTCAACGACCCTTGTATTCCGTTAGAAGAATAAACGAAACCATTTATCTTGGATCTATTCACCGATATTAGCGCGATACTGACGAACTATATGAAGCAGGATCAAATAACTAGCCAAATTACTAATACATAAACTTCAATACTACCAATTCTCAGTTACAATTGAACTGCCCTCTTTCAAAGACATGAATTTTCCACAAATTTGACGCGCGTGTCGACATGATTAGAGATTAGTACAATCAAAAATTCGACCGAAATTGAATAAACTGCTGACCAATAAAATGGACGACAAAGCCTATGTAGATATTGAGGGTCTTCGATTTACCGACTTTAAAGATTTCTCAACAAAATTAAGGCTGATATTCTCAACAAGTATCAGCATATTAATGCTGGTATATAAGTACCACAGCGAACTCAAGGTGGTCGTAAAGTAACGTGGCGAGAGAATTCTGGATTACATAAACAGAATAACCAACATTAGAGACTGTACGAGGGTGGTCCGATAAGTACTTAGCCTACAACAGAAAAACGAAAATTTTGAAAAAGTGACGTTTTATTTCAACATAGTCTCCTTTTAGTTCGATGCACTTGGCCAAGCGATGCTCCAACTTCTTTAACCCGTCTGAAAAATACGTTTCCTCGAGGTCTGAAAAGGGCTAAATCTGGAGAATACGGTGGATGGGGCAGCAGTTCGTAGCCTAATTCGACCAATTTGGCCATGGCGACGGCGGAGGTGTGAGCCGGTGCGTTGTCATAGTGGAAGAGCACTTTTTTCTTCGCCAAATGGGGCCGTTTTTTCTGCAATTCGACGTCGAATCGGCCCAATAATTCGGCATAGTACAGCCCCGTGACCGTTTTGCTCCTCTCCAGGTAGTCGATGTAGATCACACCTTGTGAATCCCAGAAAACGGTGGCCATCACCTTTCCGGCCGATGGGGCAGTCTTCGCCTTCTTCGGAGCACTTTCGCCGGGTAAAGTCCACTGTTTTGACTGTTCCTTGGTCTCTGGTGTATACCAGTGGATCCATGTTTCGTCGTCTGTCACGAAACGACGTAGAAACTCCTTCAGATTGCGCTTAAACAGCGTCAGATATTGCTCTAAAGTTGTCTCACGGTTGCGCTTGTTGTCTGGAGTAAGCAAACGCGGCACCCATCGCGCCGACAGCTTTCTCGTACCCAAAATTTCATGCAGGACATGACCCACGCGGTCTTTTGAGATGCCTACGATCTTAGCTATCTCGCGCACCTTCAATCGTCGTTCTGCCAATAAGAGATCATGAATTTTTGTCACGTTATCCTCCGTGGTAGCCGTTTTCGGAGCACCTGAACGTGGCTCTTCAAAAATTGGCGTGCGACCCCGTTGAAACTCGTTAAACCAATTTTTGACGGTCGCCATCGAAAGAGAAGAGTCACCGTACACAGCATCCAAGCGCTTTTTGATTTCGCTGCATGATTTTCCTTCCAAAAACAAGAATCGAATCACCGACCGATACTGCTCTTTTTCCATTTTTCAAAAATCAACGGACACACTTGCTTTCATACGCTCTCAAAAATAAACTACAACTCCGATCCGGCTAAAATCTTGACAGTAACCATCGAGAAGGTTGTACTACGTGATAGAATATTTCTTTTGCAAGAGTGGCGCCATCGGGCGGTGAGGCTAAGTACTTATCGGACCACCCTCGTATAGTAGACGCTATCAGAAATGAGACGAAATCAAAATTTCTCTTGACGGAAAAGGCTAAGCTAGCTAAATTAGATGTCGAAAATATAGAAGAATTTTGTGACGATTTATATTTCAGTATTCGCTGGTGTCTAGAAAATTGCCAAAGAATGATCAAGCAAGAAGTTTTCAATGACGCGATAAAGGTGGAGAAACAAATTCAATATGACAGGTGAAAGCATGGTCCTAATAAGCAACGAAACTCTTTTAC